TGGGGGTCAACAATGGGGCTGGGGGTCAACGTGGGGATGGGGTCAACATGGGGATGGGGTCAACAATGCGGATGGGGTCAACATGGAGATGGGGTCAACATGGGGATGGGGTCAACAATAGGATGGGGTCAACATGGGGATGGGGTCAACATGGGGATGGGTGTCAACAATGGGTATGGGGTCATCATGGGGATGGGGGTCAACAATGGGGATGGGAGTCAACAATGGGGATGGGGTCAACATGGGGATGGGGTCAATATGGGGATGGGGTCAATATGGGGATGGGGTCAACATGGGGATGGGGGTCAACATGGGGATGGGGTCAACATGGGGATGGGGTCAACATGGGGATGGGGTCAACATGGGGATGGGGGTCAACATGGGGATGGGGTCAACATGGGGATGGGGGTCAACATGGGGATGGGGTCAACATGGGGATGGGGTCAACATGGGGATGGGGTCAACATGGGGATGGGGTCAACAATGGGGATGGGGGTCAACATGGGGATGGGGGTCAACAATGGGGCTGGAGGCCTGGAGCGCCCATCGCCGCCTGCGCAACCACAAGAGAGGGCTCTTCCTGCTGTAAGGGGGCAACGTGGGGGGCGGGATGGGGGTCAACAATGGGGGTCATGGGGTTGGGGGTCATGGGGTTGGTCAACATGGGGATGGGGTCAACATGGGGATGGGGTCAACAATGGGGATGGGGTCAACATGGGGATGGGGTCAACATGGGATGGGGTCAACATGGGGATGGGGTCAACATGGGGATGGGGTCAACATGGGATGGGGTCAACATGGGGATGGGGTCAACATGGGGATGGGGTCAACATGGGGATGGGGTCAACAATGGGGATGGGGTCAACATGGGGATGGGGGTCAACACGGGGATGGGGTCAACATGGGGATGGGGTCAACAATGGGGATGGAGGCCCGGAGCGCCCATCGCCGCCTGCGCAACCACAAGAGAGGGCTCTTCCTGCTGTAAGGGGGCAACGTGTGGGGCGGGATGGGGGTCAACATGGGGGTCATGGGGTTGGGGGTCATGGGGTTGGTCAACATGGGGATGGGGTCAACATGGGGATGGGGTCAACATGGGGATGGGGTCAACAATGGGATGGGGTCAACATGGGGATGGGATCAACGTGGGGATGGGGTCAACGTGGGGATGGGGTCAACATGGGGATGGGGTCAACATGGGGATGGGGTCAACAATGGGGATGGGGGTCAGCAATGGGGATGGGGTCAACATGGGGATGGGGTCAACATGGGGATGGGGTCAACAATGGAATGGGGTCAACATGGGGATGGGGTCAACATGGGGATGGGGTCAACATGGGGATGGGGTCAACAATGGGGATGGGGTCAACATGGGGATGGGGTCAACATGGGGATGGGGGTCAACATGGGGATGGGGGTCAACAATGGGGATGGGGGTCAACATGGGGATGGGGTCAACATGGTATTGGGGGTCAACATGGGGGTCATGGGGTTGGGGGTCATCATGGGGGGCACCGGGGGTGGTCATTGGGGGGGAATGGGGTTGGTGGTCAACATGGGGTTGGGGGTCAACATGGGTGGTCATGGGGTTGGGGGTCATGGGGTTAGTGGTCAACATGGGGGGCTTGGGGTTGGTGGTCATCGATGCTATGTGGCTATGGGTCCATGGTTGCCATGGGGCTCTGATGCTATGGGGCTCTGATGTTATGATGCTATGGGTCCACGGTTGCTATGGGTGCACGGTTGCTCTGGGTCCATGGGTCCACGGTTGCTATGGGTCCATGGGTCCATGGTTGCTATGTGGCTATGGGTCCATGGTTGCTATGGGGCTATGATGCTATGGGGCTCTGATATTATGATGCTATGGGTCCATGGGTCCATGGTTGCTCTGTGTCCATGGGTCCACGGTTGCTCTGGGTGCTATGGGTCCACGGTTGCTATGGGTCCATGGTTGCTATGGGTCCATGGTTGCTATGTGTCCATGGTTGCTATGGGGCTCTGATGTTATGATGCTATGGGTCCATGGTTGCTATGGGTCCACGGTTGCTATGGGTCCATGGTTGCTATGGGTCCATGGTTGCTATGTGTCCATGGTTGCTATGGGGCTCTGATGTTATGATGCTATGGGTCCATGGTTGCTATGGGTCCACGGTTGCTATGGGTCCATGGTTGCTCTGGGTCCATGGTTGCTATGTGTCCATGGTTGCTATGGGGCTCTGATGTTATGATGCTATGGGTCCATGGTTGCTATGGGTCCATGGTTGCTATGGGTCCATGGTTGCCATGGGGCTCTGATGCTATGGGGCTCTGATGTTATGATGCTATGTGTCCATGGTTGCTATGGGTCCATGGTTGCTATGGGTCCATGGTTGCCATGGGGCTCTGATGCTATGGGGCTCTGATGTTATGATGCTATGGGTCCACGGTTGCTATGGGTCCATGGTTGCTATGGGGCTCTGATGTTATGATGCTATGGGGCTCTGATGTTATGATGCTATGGGTCCATGGTTGCTATGGGTCCATGGTTGCCATGGGGCTCTGATGCTATGGGGCTCTGATGTTATGATGCTATGGGTCCGTGGTTGCTATGGGTCCATTGTTGCTATGGGTCCATGTGTCCATGGTTGCTATGGGGCTCTGATGTTATGATGCTATGGGTCCATGGTTGCTATGGGTCCATGGTTGCTATGGGTCCATGGTTGCCATGGGGCTCTGATGCTATGGGGCTCTGATGTTATGATGCTATGTGTCCATGGTTGCTATGGGGCTCTGATGTTATGATGCTATGGGTCCATGGTTGCTATGTGTCCATGGTTGCTATGGGGCTCTGATGTTATGATGCTATGGGTCCATGGTTGCTCTGGGTCCATGGTTGCTATGGGTCCATGGTTGCCATGGGGCTCTGATGCTATGGGGCTCTGATGTTATGATGCTATGGGTCCATGGTTGCTATGGGTCCATGGTTGCCATGGGGCTCTGATGCTATGGGGCTCTGATGTTATGATGCTATGGGTCCGTGGTTGCTATGGGTCCATTGTTGCTATGGGTCCATGTGTCCATGGTTGCTATGGCGCTCTGATGTTATGATGCTATGGGTCCGTGGTTGCTATGGGTCCATTGTTGCTATGGGTCCATGTGTCCATGGTTGCTATGGGGCTCTGATGTTATGATGCTATGGGTCCATGGTTGCTATGGGTCCATTGTTGCTATGGGTCCATGTGTCCATGGTTGCTATGGGGCTCTGATGTTATGATGCTCTGGGTCCATGGTTGCTATGTGTCCATGGTTGCTATGGGGCTCTGATGTTATGATGCTATGGGTCCATGGTTGCTCTGGGTGCTATGGGTCCACGGTTGCTCTGGGTCCATGGGTCCACGGTTGCCATGGGGCTCTGATGCTATGGGGCTCTGATGTTATGATGCTATGGGTCCATGGTTGCTATGGGTCCATGTGTCCACGGTTGCCGTGGGTCCCGCGCAGGAACGGGCCGTCGTGGCGCTCGGACCGCCTGGCTCTGAACCCGGCGCTGCTGAGCCCCACGGGCGCGCGCCGCTTCCTGCCCCACCTGGACGCCGTCGCCAGGGACTTCGCGGCCGCCCTGGGGCAGCGCCTGCGGCAGAGCCCGAGCGGGGCCCTCACCATCGACCCCCACCCCCTGCTCTTCCGCTTCACGCTCGAGGGTGAGAGGGGTTGGGGGGCGGAGACCCCAATGGGGCGACCAATGGGAGAGGTCAATGGGGATCCAATGGGAGAGGTCAATGGGGGATCCAATGGGAGAGCTCAATGGGAATCCAATGGGAGAGCTCAATGGGAGAGGTCAATGGGGATCCAATGGGAGAGGTCAATGGGGGATACAGTGGGAGAGGTCAATGGGGGGTCCAATGGGAGTGGTCAATGGGGATCCAATGGGAGAGGTCAATGGGGGATCCAATGGGAGAGGTCAATGGGGGATCCAATGGGAGAGCTCAATGGGGGATCCAATGGGAGAGCTCAATGGGGATCCAATGGGAGAGGTCAATGGGGGATCCAATGGGAGAGGTCAATGGGGGATCCAATGGGAGAAGTCAATGGGGGATCCAATGGGAGAGGTCAATGGGGATCCAATGGGAGAGGTCAATGGGAGAGGTCAATGGGGGATCCAATGGGAGAGGTCAATGGGGATCCAATGGGAGAGCTCAATGGGAGAGCTCAATGGGAGAGGTCAATGGGGATCCAATGGGAGAGGTCAATGGGGGATCCAATGGGAGAGGTCAATGGGGGATCCAATGGGAGAGGTCAATGGGAGATCCAAAGGGAGAGGTCAATGGGGGATCCAATGGGAGAGGTCAATGGGGGATCCAATGGGAGAGGTCAATGGGAGATCCAATGGGGGAGGTCAATGGGGGATCCAATGGGAGAGGTCAATGGGGGATCCAATGGGAGAGGTCAATGGGGATCCAATGGGAGAGGTCAATGGGGGATCCAATGGGAGAGGTCAATGGGAGATCCAATGGGAGAGGTCAATGGGAGATCCAATGGGAGAGGTCAATGGGGATCCAATGGGAGAGGTCAATGGGGGATCCAATGGGAGAACCAATGGGAAACCCCAATGGTTGACATCAATGGGAGAGCTCAATGGGAGACATCAATGGGAGACCCCATGGGGATGGGGGTGGGGATGGGGATGGGGGTGGGGATGGGAATGGGGGGGTGTGGGGATGGGGGGGGATGGGATGGGGATGGGGACATGGGATGGGGATGTGGGATGGGATGGGGGTGGGATGGGGATGGGATGGGAAGGGGATGGGATGGGGGTGGGATGGGGATGGGATGGGGGTGGGGATGGGACGGGGATGGGATGTCAGGGGTGTGGGGATGGGATGGGATGGTGATGGGATGGGGGTGGGGATGGGGATGGGATGGGATGGGGAGGGGGAGGGGGATGGGGATGGGGATGGGGAGGGGGATGGGGATGGGATGGGATGGGGATGGGGATGGGGATGGGGATGGGATGGAGGCACCGCAGCGTCCGTGGGGATGGGGGTGGGGATGGGGGTGGGGGTGGGGATGGGGATGGGGATGGGAGGGGGATGGGGATGGGGATGGGGGTGGGGATGGGGATGGGGATGGGGATGGGGATGGGGGTGGGGATGGGGATGGGATGGGGATGGGGATGGGGGTGGGGATGGGGATGGGGATGCATGGGGATGGGGGGGGATGGGATAGGGATGGGGATGGGGATGGGGATGGGATGGGACAGGATGGGGATGGGGATGCATGGGGATGGGGGGGGATGGGATAGGGATGGGGATTGGACCCTGTGGTTGACTCTTCCCCCCCATCCCCATCCCGCCCCATTGCCTGCAGCCAGCAGCTACGCCCTCTATGGGGAGCGCCTGGGGCTGCTGGGGGGCGGCGAGGCCCCGGGGGGGGCCCAGCGCTTCCTGGGGGCGCTGGAGGCGATGCTGAGGACCACCCCCCCCCTGCTCTTCCTGCCCCCCATCGTCCTGCGCCTCCTGCCCCCCCCCCTATGGCAGGAGCACCTCAGGGCGTGGGACGTCATCTTCCAGCACGGTGAGGGGGGCGCTCGCTATGGGGCGCTCGCTATGGGGCGCTCGCTATGGGGCGGCCGTTATGGGGCACTCGCTATGGGGCGGCCGTTATGGGGCACTCGCTATGGGGCGGCCGTTATGGGGCGCTTGCTATGGGGCGGCCGTTATGGGGTGCTCGCTATGGGGCAGCCGTTATGGGGCACTCGCTATGGGGCGGCCGTTATGGGGCGCTTGCTATGGGGCGGCCGTTATGGGGCAGCCGTTATGGGGTGCTTGCTATGGGGCGGCCCCTGTGGGGCACCACATGGACACCCCCTATGGGGAACACCCTATGGGCAACCCCCTATGGGGTACCCATTGGACACCCCATATGGGCCTTTGACCCCTTCCCCCATCCCCCCTTTGACCCCTTCCCCCATCCCCCCTTTGACCCCTCCCCCCCATCCCCCCCTTTGACCCCTCCCCCATCCCCCCTTTTGACCCCTCCCCCCCTTTGACCCCTCCCCCCCTTTGACCCCTCCCCCCATCCCCCCCCTTGACCCCTCCCCCCATCCCCCCCTTTGACCCCTCCCCCATCCCCCCCCTTAACCCCTCCCCTCCATCCCCCCCTTTGACCCCTCCCCCCCTTTGACCCCTCCCCCCCATCCCCCCCTTAACCCCTCCCCCCATCCCATCCCCCCTTTGACCCCTCCCCCCTTTGACCCCTCCCCCCCATCCCCCCCCTTTAACCCATCCCCCCCTTTGACCCCTCCCCCGCATCCCCCCCTTTGACCCCTCCCCCCCTTTGACCCCTGCCCCCCATCCCCCGCCTTAACCCCTCCCCCATCCCCCCCTTTGACCCCTCCCCCCCATGCCCCCCCTTTGACCCCTCACCCCCCATCCCCCAGTTTGACCCTCCCCTCCATCCCCCCTTTCACCCCTCCCCCCCTCCCCCCCTTTAACCCCTCCCCCCTCCCCCCCTTTGACCCCTCCCCCCCCTCTCTGTCTCCCCCCAGCGGACGAGAGCATCCAACGCATTTACCGCGCCTTCTGCCGGGGGGGGGCGGGGCTCGGGCCCGAGGGGGCGGGGCCTGGGGGGGGCTCCGGGGGGGGGCTCCTGGCTCAGCTCCTGCTCCAGGCCCGGCTCCCGCTGGACTCCATCAAAGCGAACGTGACGGAGTTCACGGCGGGGGGGGTGGACACGGTGAGGGGGGGGAGGGGCAGCGGGGGGGGGGAGGGGCGGGGGGGATGGGGGGGATGGGGGGGATGGGGGGGTCATGACGGAGTTCACGGCGGGGGGGGTGGACACGGTGAGGGGGGGAGGGGGGGATGGGGGCATGGGGGGATCATGGGGGGGTCATGGGGGGGAGGGGTCAAAGGGGGGGATGGGGGGGATGGGGGGGGTCATGGGGGGGATGGGGGCATGGGGGGATCATGGGGGGGTCATGGGGGGAGGGGTCAAGGGGGGGATGGGGGGGATGGGGGGGTCATGGGGGGGGATGGGGGCATGGGGGGATCATGGGGGTCATGGGGGGAGGGGGGGGATGGGGGGGATGGGGGGATGGGGGGGTCATGGGGGGGATGGGAGGGGGATGGGGGGGGGTCATGACGGAGTTCACGGCGGGGGGGCTGGACACGGTGGGGGGGGGAGGGGCGGGGGGGGTCATGGGGGGATGGGGGGGATGGGGGGATGGGGGGGTCATGGGGGGGGATGGAAGGGGGATTGGGGGGTCATAGGGGGTCATGGGGGGTCATGGGGGGGATGGGGGGTCATGGGGGGGGATGGGAGGGGGATTGGGGCGTCATGGGGGGGTCATGGGGGATTGAGGGGATGGGAGGGGCATGGGGAGGGATGGGGGCGTAATGGGAGGTCTCAGTTATGGGTCTCAGTTGTGGGTCTCGGGTGTGGGTCTCGGTTATGGGTCTCGGGTGTGGGTCTCGGTTGTGGGTCTCAGTTATGGGTCTCAGTTATGGGTCTCAGTTATGGGTCTCAGTTATGGGTCTCGGGTGTGGGTCTCAGTTATGGGTCTCAGTTATGGGTCTCAGTTATGGGTCTCAGTTATGGGTCTCAGTTATGGGTCTCAGTTACGGGTCTCAGTTATGGGTTTCAGTTATGGGTCTCGGGTGTGGGTCTCAGTTATGGGTCTCAGTTATGGGTCTCAGTTATGGGTCTCGGTTCTGGGTCTCAGTTATGGGTCTCGGTTATGGGTCTCGGGTGTGGGTCTCAGTTATGGGTCTCAGTTATGGGTCTCAGTTATGGGTCTCAGGTGTGGGTCTCAGGTGTGGGTCTCGGGTGTGGGTCTCGGGTGTGGGTCTCAGTTATGGGTCTCAGGTGTGGGTCTCAGTTATGGGTCTCGGGTGTGGGTCTCAGGTGTGGGTCTCAGTTATGGGTCTCGGGTGTGGGTCTCAGGTGTGGGTCTCAGTTATGGGTCTCAGTTGAGGGTCTTAGTTATGGGTCTCAGTTGAGGGTCTTAGTTATGGGTCTCAGTTGTGGGTCTCTGGTGTGTGTCTCGGGTGTGGGTCTCAGTTATGGGTCTCGGGTGTGTGTCTCGGTTATGGGTCTCAGTTATGGGTCTCAGGTGTGGGTCTCAGTTCTGGGTCTCGGGTGTGGGTCTCAGTTATGGGTCTCAGGTGTGGGTCTCAGTTATGGGTCTCGGGTGTGGGTCTCAGTTATGGGTCTCAGGTGTGGGTCTCAGTTATGGGTCTCGGGTGTGGGTCTCAGGTGTGGGTCTCAGTTATGGGTCTCGGGTGTGGGTCTCAGGTGTGGGTCTCAGTTATGGGTCTCAGTTGAGGGTCTTAGTTATGGGTCTCAGTTGAGGGTCTTAGTTATGGGTCTCAGTTGTGGGTCTCTGGTGTGTGTCTCGGGTGTGGGTCTCAGTTATGGGTCTCGGGTGTGTGTCTCGGTTATGGGTCTCAGTTATGGGTCTCAGGTGTGGGTCTCAGTTCTGGGTCTCGGGTGTGGGTCTCAGTTATGGGTCTCAGTTATGGGTCTCAGTTATGGGTCTCAGTTATGGGTCTTGGGTGTGGGTCTCAGTTATGGGTCTCAGTTATGGGTCTTGGGTGTGGGTCTCAGTTATGGGTCTCAGTTATGGGTCTCAGGTGTGGGTCTCAGTTATGGGTCTCAGTTATGGGTCTTGGGTGTGGGTCTCAGTTATGGGTCTCAGTTATGGGTCTCAGGTGTGGGTCTCAGTTATGGGTCTCGGGTGTGGGTCTCAGTTATGGGTCTCAGTTATGGGTCTCGGTTGTGGGTCTCGGGTGTGGGTCTCAGTTATGGGTCTCGGGTGTGGGTCTCAGGTGTGGGTCTCAGTTATGGGTCTCAGGTGTGGGTCTCAGGTGTGGGTCTCAGGTGTGGGTGTCAGCTATGGGTCTCGGGTGTGGGTCTCAGTTATGGGTCTCAGTTATGGGTCTCGGGTGTGGGTCTCAGTTATGGGTCTCGGGTGTGGGTCTCAGTTATGGGTCTCAGTTATGGGTCTCGGGTGTGGGTCTCAGTTATGGGTCTCAGTTATGGGTCTCGGGTGTGGGTCTCAGTTGTGGGTCTCAGTTATGGGTCTCGGGTGTGGGTCTCAGTTATGGGTCTCGGGTGTGGGTCTCAGTTATGGGTCTCAGTTATGGGTCTCAGTTATGGGTCTCAGGTGTGGGTCTCGGTTGTGGGTCTCGGGTGTGGGTCCCCGCCGTGGGTCACGTGACCCCGCCCCCCAGACCGCCGTCCCGCTCCTGTTCACCCTCTTCGAGCTGGGCCGGAACCCGCGGGTGCAGCGGGCGCTGAGGGAGGAGCTGCGCGCGGCGGGGGCGGGGCCGAGCCTCGAGGGGGCGGGGCCAAGGCCCGAGGGGGCGGGGCCGGCGCCCCCTGACCCCCAGGCGCTGCTCGGGAGCCTCCCCCTGCTGAAAGCGGCCATCAAAGAGACCCTGAGGTGAGGGGGGGAGGGGCGGGGTCATGGGGGGGTCACGGGGGGGTCATGGGGTCATGGAGGGGTCACTGTGGGGTCATTGTGGGGTCATTGTAGGGTCATTGTGGGGTCATTGTGGGGTCACGGTGGGGTCACGGTGGGGTCACTGCGGGGTCATTGTGGGGTCACGATGGGGTCATTGTGGGGTCACTGTGGGGTCATGGTGGGGTCATGGTGGGGTCACTGTGGGGTCATTGTGGGGTCACGGTAGGGTCACAGTGGGGTCATTGTGGGGTCATGGTGGGGTCACTGTGGGGTCATGGTGGGGTCACTGTGGGGTCATTGTGGGGTCATTGTGGGGTCACTGTGGGGTCATGGTGGGGTCATTGTGGGATCATCTTGGGGTCACTGTTGGGTCATTGTGGGGTCACTGTGGGGTCACGGTAGGGTCACTGTGGGGTCATTGTGGGGTCATGATGGGGTCACTGCGGGGTCATTGGGGGGTCACTGTGAGGTTATTGGGGGTCACTGTGGGGTCACTTGGGGGGGATTTGGGGGGCACTTGGGGGGTCACTGTGGGGTCACTGTGGGGTCACTGTGGGGTCACTTTGGGGTCACTGTGGGGTCATGGTGGGGTCATTGTGGGGTCACTGTGGGGTCATTGTGCGACCATCTTGGGGTCACTGTTGGGTCATTGTGGGGTCATTGTGGGGTCATGATGGGGTCACTGTGGGGTCATTGGGGGGTCACTGTGAGGTTATTGGGGGTCACCGTGAGGTCACCTGGGGGGATTTGGGGGGCACTTGGGGGTCACTGGGGGGTCACCGTGAGGTCACTTGGGGGGATTTGGGGGTCACTGGGGGGTCCCTGGTGCCCCTTGGCCCCCCCAGCCCCACACCCTCCCCCCCGCCCCATTGTGCCCCCCATCCCCATCCCCATCCCAGGCTGTACCCGGTGGGGGTCACGGTGCAGCGGTACCCGGCCACGGACGTGGTGCTCCACAAGTACCGGGTGCCCGCGGGGGTAAGCGCAAAGTGGGGGTCACCATGGGGCACGTGTGGGGTGAATGGGGGGGACCCCATCACACTGACCCCCATGCACCCCCCAGACCCTGTGCCAGGTGTCCCTGTACGCTATGGGGCATCAATGGGGCAGATGTGGGGTGAATGCGGGGACCCCATCACACTGACCCCCACACCCCCCAGACCCTGTGCCAGGTGTCCCTGTACGCTATGGGGCAGATGTGGGGTGAATGGGGAGGACCCCATCACATTGACCCCCACACACCCCAGACCCTGTGCCAGGTGTCCCTGTACGCTATGGGGCATCAATGGGGCAGATGTGGGGTGAATGGGGGGACCCCATCACATTGACCCCCACGCTCCCCACAGCCCCTGTGCCAGGTGTCCCTGTACGCTATGGGGCAGATGTGGGGTGAATGGGGAGGACCCCATCACACTGACCCCCACACCCCACAGACCCTGTGCCAGGTGTCCCTGTACGCTATGGGGCAGATGTGGGGTGAATGGGGGGACCCCATCACATTGACCCCCATGCTCCCCCCAGACCCTGTGCCAGGTGTCCCTGTACGCTATGGGGCAGATGTGGGGTGAATGGGGGGGACCCCATCACATTGACCCCCACGCCCCCCCCAGACCCTGTGCCAGGTGTCCCTGTACGCTATGGGGCATCAATGGGGCAGATGTGGGGTGAATGTGGGGGACCCCATCACACTGACCCCCATGCTCCCCACAGACCCTATGCCAGGTGTCCCTGTACGCTATGGGGCATCAATGGGGAGATGTGGGGTGAATGGGGGGACCCCATCACATTGACCCCCACACCCCCCCCAGACCCTGTGCCAGGTGTCCCTGTACGCTATGGGGCATCAATGGGGCAGATGTGGGGTGAATGGGGAGGACCCCATCACATTGACCCCCATGCACCCCACAGACCCTGTGCCAGGTGTCTCTGTACGCTATGGGGCATCAATGGGGCAGATGTGGGGTGAAAGGGGGGGACCCCATCACACTGACCCCCATGTTCCCCGCAGACCCTGTGCCAGGTGTCCCTGTACGCTATGGGGCATCAATGGGGCAGATGTGGGGTGAATGAGGGGGACCCCATCACATTGACCCCCACACCCCGCAGACCCTGTGCCAGGTGTCCCTGTACGCTATGGGGCATCAATGGGGCAGATGTGGGGTGAATGGGGGGACCCCATCACATTGACCCCCACGCTCCCCACAGACCCTGTGCCAGGTGTCCCTGTACGCTATGGGGCAGATGTGGGGTGAATGGGGAGGACCCCATCACATTGACCCCCATGCTCCCCACAGACCCTGTGCCAGGTGTCCCTGTACGCTATGGGGCATCAATGGGGCAGATGTGGGGTGAATGAGGGGACCCCATCACACTGACCCCCATGCACCCCACAGACCCTGTGCCAGGTGTCCCTGTACGCTATGGGGCAGATGTGGGGTGAATGGGGAGGACCCCATCACATTGACCCCCACACCCCCCAGACCCTGTGCCAGGTGTCCCTGTACGCTATGGGGCAGATGTGGGGTGAATGGGGGGACCCCATCACACTGACCCCCACACCCCCCAGACCCTGTGCCAGGTGTCCCTGTACGCTATGGGGCATCAATGGGGCAGATGTGGGGTGAATGGGGGGACCCCATCACACTGACCCCCACACCCCCCAGACCCTGTGCCAGGTGTCCCTGTACCCTATGGGGCATCAATGGGGCAGATGTGGGGTGAATGAGGGGGAACCGCATCACACTGACCCCCACACCCCACAGACCCTGTGCCAGGTGTCCCTGTACGCTATGGGGCATCAATGGGGCAGATGTGGGGTGAATGAGGGGAACCCCATCACACTGACCCCATGCACCCCCCAGACCCTGTGCCAGGTGTCCCTGTACGCTATGGGGCATCAATGGGGCTGATGTGGGGTGAATGGGGAGGACCCCATCACATTGACCCCCATGCTCCCCCCAGACCCTGTGCCAGGTGTCCCTGTACCCTATGGGGCATCAATGGGGCAGATGTGGGGTGAATGGGGAGGACCCCATCACACTGACCCCCACACCCCCCAGACCCTGTGCCAGGTGTCCCTGTACGCTATGGGGCAGATGTGGGGTGAATGGGGGGACCCCATCACATTGACCCCCACACCCCCCAGACCCTGTGCCAGGTGTCCCTGTACGCTATGGGGCAGATGTGGGGCAGAAGTGGGGCGAATGGGGGGACCCCATCACATTGACCCCCATGCACCCCACAGACCCTGTGCCAGGTGTCCCTGTACGCTATGGGGCATCAATGGGGCAGATGTGGGGTGAATGGGGAGGACCCCATCACACTGACCCCATGCTCCCCGCAGACCCTGTGCCAGGTGTCCCTGTACGCTATGGGGCATCAATGGGGCAGATGTGGGGTGAATGAGGGGACCCCATCACATTGACCCCCACACCCCCCAGACCCTGTGCCAGGTGTCCCTGTACGCTATGGGGCATCAATGGGGCTGATGTGGGGTGAATGGGGAGGACCCCATCACATTGACCCCCATGCTCCCCGCAGACCCTGTGCCAGGTGTCCCTGTACGCTATGGGGCAGATGTGGGGTGAATGGGGGACCCCATCACATTGACCCCCATGCTCCCCGCAGACCCTGTGCCAGGTGTCCCTGTACGCTATGGGGCATCAATGGGGCAGATGTGGGGTGAATGAGGGGACCCCATCACACTGACCCCCATGCTCCCCGCAGACCCTGTGCCAGGTGTCCCTGTACGCTATGGGGCATCAATGGGGCAGATGTGGGGTGAATGGGGGGACCCCATCACATTGACCCCCACACCCCACAGACCCTGTGCCAGGTGTCCCTGTACGCTATGGGGCATCAATGGGGCAGATGTGGGGTGAATGGGGAGGACCCCATCACATTGACCCCCATGCTCCCCACAGACCCTGTGCCAGGTGTCCCTGTACGCTATGGGGCAGATGTGGGGTGAATGGGGGGACCCCATCACATTGACCCACGCGCCCCACAGCCCCTGTGCCAGGTGTCCCTGTACGCTATGGGGCAGATGTGGGGTGAATGGGGGGACCCCATCACATTGACCCCCACACCCCACAGACCCTGTGCCAGGTGTCTCTGTACGCTATGGGGCATCAATGGGGCAGATGTGGGGTGAATGGGGGGACCCCATCACATTGACCCCCACACCCCACAGACCCTGTGCCAGGTGTCCCTGTCCGCTATGGGGCATCAATGGGGCAGATGTGGGGTGAATGGGGGGGACCCCATCACATTGACCCCCATGCTCCCCCCAGCCCCTGTGCCAGGTGTCCCTGTACCCTATGGGGCAGATGTGGGGTGAATGAGGGGACCCCATCACACTGACCCCCACACACCCCCCAGACCCTGTGCCAGGTGTCCCTGTCCGCTATGGGGCAGATGTGGGGTGAATGGGGAGGACCCCATCACACTGACCCCCACACCCCCCAGACCCTGTGCCAGGTGTCCCTGTACGCTATGGGGCAGATGTGGGGTGAATGGGGGGGACCCCATCACATTGACCCCCATGCTCCCCCCAGACCCTGTGCCAGGTGTCCCTGTACGCTATGGGGCAGATGTGGGGTGAATGGGGAGGACCCCATCACATTGACCCCCACACGCCCCACAGACCCTGTGCCAGGTGTCCCTGTACGCTATGGGGCATCAATGGGGCAGATGTGGGGTGAATGGGGGGACCCCATCACACTGACCCCCACACCCCCCAGACCCTGTGCCAGGTGTCCCTGCACGCTATGGGGCAGATGTGGGGTGAATGGGGGGACCCCATCACATTGACCCCCACACCCCCCAGACCCTGTGCCAGGTGTCCCTGTACGCTATGGGGCATCAATGGGGCAGATGTGGGGTGAATGGGGGGACCCCATCACATTGACCCCCATGCTCCCCCCAGACCCTGTGCCAGGTGTCCCTGTACGCTATGGGGCGCAGCCCGGACGTGTTCCCCCAGCCCCATCGCTACGACCCATGGCGTTGGGTGGCCAATGGGGACAAGAGCTTCAAGGCGCTGGCGTTCGGGTTCGGGGCCCGGCAGTGCATCGGCCGGCGCCTGGCCGAGGCCGAGATGATGCTGTTCCTCATCCACGTGAGCCGGGGGGCGATGGGGGTCATGGGGGGCCATGGGGGGCCATGGGGGGTGATGGGGGGCAATGGGGGGGTTTGTTAGGGGGATGGGTTCGGGGATTTGATTGAGGGGGTTCGGTTGGGGGGCTCGGTTGGGGGGCTCGGTTGGGGGGCTCGGTTGTAGGGTTTGGTTGGGGGGCTCGGTTGGGGGTCTCGGTTGGGGGGCAGGGCTCGGTTGGGGGGCAGGGCTCGGTTGTGGGGCTTGGTTGTGGGGCTTGATTGGGGGGCTCAGTTCTAGGGTTTGGTTGTGGGTCTCGGTTGGGGGGCTCGGTTGGGGGGCTTGGTTGTAGGGTTTGGTTGGGGGGCTCGGTTGGGGGGCTCGGTTGGGGGGCTCAGTTCTAGGGTTTGGTTGGGGGGCTCGGTTGGGGGGCTCGGTTGGGGGGCTTGGTTGTAGGGTTTGGTTGGGGGGCTCGGTTGGGGGGCTCGGTTGGGGTGTGGGGCTCGGTTGGGGGGCTCGGTTGGGGGGCTCGGTTGTAGGGATTGGTTGGGGGGCTCGGTTGGGGGGCTCGGTTGGGGGGCAGGGCTCGTTTGGGGGGATCGGTTGGGTGGTTTGGTTGTGGGGCTCGGTTGTGGGGCTCGGTTGTGGGGCTCAGTTGGGGGGCTCGGTTGGGGGGCTCGGTTGGGGGCTCGGTTGTAGGGTTTGGTTGTGGGGCTCGGTTGTGGGGCTCGGTTGTAGGGTTTGGTTGTGGGGCTCGGTTGGGGGGCTCGGTTGGGGGGCTCGGTTGTAGGGTTTGGTTGTGGGGCTCAGTTGGGGGGCTCGGTTGGGGGGCTCGGTTGGGGGCTCGGTTGTAGGGTTTGGTTGTGGGGCTCGGTTGTGGGGCTCGGTTGTGGGGCTCAGTTGGGGGGCTCGGTTGGGGGGCTCGGTTGGGGGGCAGGGCGCGGTTGTGGGGCTCGGTTGTGGGGCTCAGTTGGGGGGCTCGGTTGGGGGGCTCGGTTGGGGGCTCGGTTGTAGGGTTTGGTTGTGGGGCTCGGTTTGGGGGCAGGGCTCGGTTGGGGGGCTCGGTTGAAGGGTTTGGTTGTGGGGCTCAGTTGGGGGGCTCGGTTGGGGGGCTCGGTTGGGGGGCTCGGTTGTAGGGTTTGGTTGGGGGGCTCGGTTGCGGGGCTCGGTTGGGGGGCAGGGCTCGGTTGTGGGGCTCGGTTGTGGGGCTCAGTTGGGAGCTCAGTTGTAGGGTTTGGTTGGGGGTCTCGGTTGTGGGGCTCGGTTGTGGGGCAGGGCTCGGTTGGGTGGCTTGGTTGGGGGGCTCGGTTGTAGGGTTTGGTTGTGGGGCTCAGTTGGGGGGCTCGGTTGTGGGTCTTGATTGTGGGTCTCAGTTGGGGGTCTCAGTTCTGGGTATCAGTTGGGGGCCTCGGTTATAGGGTTTGGTTGGGGGGGCTCGGTTGTGGGGCTCGGTTGGGGGGCTCAGTTGTAGGGTTTGGTTGTGGGGCTCAGTTGGGGGGCTCGGTTGTGGGTCTTAGTTGTGAGGCTTGGTTGGGGGCTCGGATGGGGGCTCGGTTGTAGGGCTCAGTTTTGGGGCTCGGTTGTGGGTCCCAGTTATGGGTCTCGGGTGTGGGTCTCAGTTGAGAGACCATGATGCGTTGGGTTGAGTCCATGATTGGGTTGTCTTCCCTTCACCCAATGACGTCTTCCCTTGACCCAATGACATCTTCCCTTGACCCAACGACGTCTTCCCTTCACCCAATGACGTCTTCCCTTGACCCAATGACGTCTTCCCTTCACCCAATGACGTCTTCCCTTGACCCAACGACGTCTTCCCTTCACCCAATGACGTCTTCCCTTCACCCAATGACGCCTTCCCTTGACCCAATGACGCCTTCCCTTCACCCAATGACGTCTCCCTTGACCCAATGACGTCTTCCTTGACCCAATGACGTCTTCCCTTGACCCAATGACGCCTTCCCTTCATCCAATGACATCTTCCCTTGACCCAATGACGCCTTCCCTTCACCCAATGACGTCTTCCCTTCACCCAATGACGTCTTCCCTTGACCCAATGACGCCTTCCCTTCACCCAATGATGTCTTCCCTTGACCCAATGACGTCTTCCCTTGACCCAATGACGCCTTCCCTTGACCCAATGACGTCTTCCCTTGACCCAATGACGTCTTCCCTTGACCCAATGACGCCTTCCCTTGACCCAATGACGCCTTCCCTTGACCCAATGACGCCTTCCCTTGACCCAATGACGCCTTCCCTTGACCCAATGACGTCTTCCCTTGACCCAACGACGCCTTCCCTTGACCCAACGACGTCTTCCCTTCACCCAATGACGTCTTCCCTTCACCCAATGACGTCTTCCTTGACCCAATGACGTCTTCCCTTGACCCACTGACGCCTTCCCTTCATCCAATGACATCTTCCCTTCACCCAATGACGTCTTCCCTTCACCCAATGACGTCTTCCCTTGACCCAATGACGTCTTCCCTTGACCCAATGACGTCTCCCTTGACCCAATGACGTCTTCCCTTGACCCAATGACGCCTTCCCTTGACCCAATGACGTCTTCCCTTGACTCAATGACGCCTTCCCTTGACCCAATGACGTCTTCCCTTGACCCAATGACGCCTTCCCTTGACCCAATGACATCTCCCTTGACCCAATGACGCCTTCCCTTGACCCAATGACGTCTTCCCTTGACCCAATGACGTCTTCCCTTGACCCAATGACGTCTTCCCTTGACCCAATGACGCCTTCCCTTGACCCAATGACATCTCACTTGACCCAATGACGCCTTCCCTTGACCCAACGACGCCTTCCCTTGACCCAATGACATCTTCCTTGACCCAATGACGCCTTCCCTTGACCCAATGACATCTTCCCTTGATCCATTGACGTCTTCCCTTGACCCAATGACGTCTTCCCTTGACCCAATGACGCCTTCCCTTGACCCAATGACGTCTTCCATTGACCCAATGACGCCTTCCCTTCACCCAATGACGTCTTCCTTGACCCAATGACGTCTTCCCTTCACCCAATGACGCCTTCCCTTGACCCAATGACATCTTCCCTTGACTCAATGACGCCTTCCCTTGACCCAATGACGTCTTCCCTTCACCCAATGACGTCTTCCTTGACCCAATGACGTCTTCCCTTCACCCAATGACGCCTTCCCTTGACCCAATGACGTCTTCCCTTCACCCAATGACGTCTTCCCTTGACCCAATGACGTCTTCCCTTGACCCAATGACGTCTTCCCTTCACCCAATGACGTCTTCCCTTGACCCAATGACGCCTTCCCTTGACCCAATGACATCTTCCCTTCACCCAATGACGTCTTCCCTTCACCCAATGACGTCTTCCCTTGACCCAATGACGTCTTCCCTTGACCCAATGACGTCTCCCTTGACCCAATGACGTCTTCCCTTGACCCAATGACGCCTTCCCTTGACCCAATGACGTCTTCCCTTGACTCAATGACGCCTTCCCTTGACCCAATGACGTCTTCCCTTGACCCAATGACGCCTTCCCTTGACCCAATGACATCTCCCTTGACCCAATGACGCCTTCCCTTGACCCAATGACGTCTTCCCTTGACCCAATGACGTCTTCCCTTGACCCAATGACGCCTTCCCTTGACCCAATGACATCTCACTTGACCCAATGACGCCTTCCCTTGACCCAACGACGCCTTCCCTTGACCCAATGACATCTTCCTTGACCCAATGACGCCTTCCCTTGACCCAATGACATCTTCCCTTGATCCATTGACGTCTTCCCTTGACCCAATGACGTCTTCCCTTGACCCAATGACGCCTTCCCTTGACCCAATGACGTCTTCCATTGACCCAATGACGCCTTCCCTTCACCCAATGACGTCTTCCTTGACCCAATGACGTCTTCCCTTCACCCAATGACGCCTTCCCTTGACCCAATGACATCTTCCCTTGACTCAATGACGCCTTCCCTTGACCCAATGACGTCTTCCCTTCACCCAATGACGTCTTCCTTGACCCAATGACGTCTTCCCTTCACCCAATGACGCCTTCCCTTGACCCAATGACGTCTTCCCTTCACCCAATGACGTCTTCCCTTGACCCAATGACGTCTTCCCTTGACCCAATGACGTCTTCCCTTCACCCAATGACGTCTTCCCTTGACCCAATGACGCCTTCCCTTGACCCAATGACGCCTTCCCTTCACCCAATGACGTCTTCCCTTGACCCAATGACGTCTTCCCTTCACCCAATGGCCTTGCCCCAACCTCTTGGCCCCGCCCCCCCCAGGTCTTGCGCAACTTCAGCATCGAGGCTGTGTCCACCCAGGACATCCCCACCGTGTTCCGCTTCATCCTCATGCCGGAGACGTCGCCGCTCCTCACCTTCCGCATCCTGGACTGAGCCGGGGCCATGCAGATCATATGCAAATCACATGCAAAGCGCATGCAAATCAGGCGAACTACGTGAAACTCTCATGCAGATCACATGCAAAGCGCATGCAAATCAGGCGAACTACACGAAACTCTCATGCAGATCACATGCAAATCACATGTAAAGCACATGCAAATCAGGCAAATGATGTGAAACTCTCACGCAGATCACATGCAAATCACATGTAAAGCACATGCAAATCATGCGAACTACATGAAGCGCATGCAAATCACATATAAAGCACATGTAAATCATGCAAACTACATGCAGATCACATGCAAATCACGCAAACTACATGCAACTCTCATGGAACTCCCATGTAAAGCACATGCAAATCATGCAAACTACATGAAACGCATGCAGATCACATGCAAATCACATGTAAAGCACATGTAAATCATGCGAATCACATGCAAATCACGCAAACTACATGCAACTCTCATGGAACTCCCAGTAAAGCACATGCAAATCATGCAAACTACATGCAGCTCTCATGCAAATCACATGTAGAGCACATGCAAATCCTGAGAACTACATGCAGATCTCATGCAGATCACATGCAAATCCTGTGAACTACATGCAACTCCCATGTAAAGCACATGCAAATCACGTGAACTACATGCAGCTCTCATGCAAATCACGTGTAAAGCACATGCAAGTCGCATGCAAATCACGCGAACTACATGCAGATCACACGTAAAGCGCATGCAGACAGTACGCAACGCAATGCAAATCACACGTAAATCCTATGCAAACCACACGCAAATCATATGTAAATCACATGCAAATCATATGTAAATCACATGCAAATCATATGTAAATTGCAGGGGCTGCCCCAGGGCTGCTGGGACCCCAGACCCCCAATAAACTTTCATTGCAGGCTCCTTGGTGGCCCCATATGGGGGGGTCTGGGGGGGGCAGGGGACCCCAAAGGTCTCCATGGGGCACAGAGGAGACCCCATATGGCAGTGGGGGGGGGTCCCACTGCACCCCCCTGCCCCACACAGCGGACATTGCCCCCCATTGCCCCCCATTGCCCCCCCCATAGCCCCCATTTGCCCCCCCATGGCCCCACTCACCCCATTCCCACCCATTATTGCCCGCCCCATCCCTCCCCTTGCACCCCAATGCCCCCCATTGACCCCCATTGCCCCCCCA